GTTGTGTTCTGAACAGAATATCTTCAATTTCACTCAAGAGTACAAAATTTGTTCCTGTGTGAGAGGTAAAGACCAGCTTGAATGAATTTGTAATGGCTCTTGTTGCATAGTTAGAAAACCAGAAAATTTAGAAAGTTAGGGGAAATTATCTGCTTTTTGCATGTTATTATTCTATGTTTTTTGATGCATTATTTAATTAAATAAAAATTGTTTAGTGCATTACTACCATTAATATAAAAAAGTATGATTAAGTGTCATCAACAGTTGACAGTAAAGAAAAAAATACTCGGGTAAGTACTTTTTTTTTGGTGGTTACGAGGTCAATCAAATTGACCAACCTTGTATAGAGTTAGTGTAGAGAAAATAACAGATAAAAATATAAAGTTTTACTCAAAACAAACACCTTTGAAATGTATTTAGGAGGTTCTAGAGATTACACAAATGAAATTTGAGATTTTTGAGAGAAAGAAAATTATTTTTAATCTTAACATGAAAAACCACTTTGCATTCAGACTATTAAAAAAAATACTCAATATATTCACAGGCAAATCTGTTTTTTAGTTTATTAAACATACTTCACTAAAAATATGATCTTTTGTATGTGAAAGACAATGTTTACTGAAAGACTGCCAAATTTTGTGAAGATATACACACAATATTAAAAGTTAGTAGTATCAAATTTACAGAGACTTTAAATAAGTAGAAAGAGGTCACGTGGTCGGTCACATTGACCGAGCCCATATTGAGAGAGTTAATAAAAATTTAGTTCCCCAATCACATATTACGATACAGTGTATTTTACAAACAATAAATTTTACATAATATAGTACATTCAAATATAATCAGGTTTCATTATGTGTTTTTGGCGTGCAGCAGTAAGTGCATTCCATACTACACCTTTTTGTTCTCCTGATGAACACAGTTGTAGTTCTGGTCATAAAGTATAAGCAGGTTTCACAATAAAGAAGTATGCCATATACTACCTTAGATTTTATAATTTAAGCTGAGCTGAATTTTTGAATGCACTTATTTAAACCTAATGAAAAAAAGTAAGATAAATACAATTTTAAATTAAATTTACATCAAATATCATGGTAACTAACTACAATTATGTCATTTCTACACAAAATGTTATCACTTTGTTTAATTAAAAAATTAACTACAAATTAAATATGGTGAGAAATTATTTTATTGCCTAAAAGACATGATTATGCTGTTGTCAAAAATAATTTCATTTATGTGCACTTTTAATTCAAACATTTGATAAAATAAGTTCAAACTTAAAACATAATATTTTAATATTTAATGAATACAATAGCAATTGACACTGTCAGTACTTCCTCCATATCCTGCTAAAGATAGAGCTAAAAAGGATTTAAAGATTAGCTTTAGAAGCCAGCAAGAGAAGAATAATTTGAAATTTACTCTAAGTTGAATACACTAAGTTTAATATGAAAACAATCAATAGGAACTCTTAAGCAAGTCCAAAAAATGTTAGAAACATAAACCTCTGACAAAACTCTTGTTCATTTATATGTAATGTATAACATTAAAAAACATCAAGGAACCTTTTGGTCCATCTAGGCC